ACAATGTCAGCATCTGATCCCACAGCTATTCTCCCTTTCCTTGGATAGAGATTAAAGATCTTAGCTGCGTTTGTGCTGGTAACCGCCACGAATCGGTTTTCATCCATTTTGCCGCTGTGCTGTAAAACCATTCAAGGAAAACAATGCATCTGTCCTAATGATCCATAGTTAAGAATCTCCTGTCAATCAAACCTGTATCTCTTGGAACCAAATAGAATTGCATCTAAGTTCTTATGTTGTGGAGCCAAACACACCTCATAATGATAAATGATGGGAATGATGGGGTAGCATATGGAAGCCCAAAGATAACTGTTCAAAAATACATCAGCTTAAAAAAAAATACAACCTCTGTGTTTTCTCACCATTCTCAGAATCGCATAGACAACAGCAAAATGTTAGGAATGGTATTTCTAATTCTCGTTTGAAGTTCACCACCACCACCTACTACATTCATTTATTGCAGACCCAAGATGTACGAGTCATCATGAAGACATTAGATGGAGTGTTATAGAGATAAGGTAAGACAGGCTTTTAAATCAGGTGAAAATACTTTTTGGAAGAGAAAGAATCTGCTCAAGAATATCAATTTTGTGCAATTAACTTTACATGAACCAAACATTATGGACAGTCTGTTACAAAAGATTTTTAAATGGACAGACATTAGAGGTCTGTGACCCCATTAAAATTACTTTTTTAATGTTGAGAGTTTATCTCTATGTACATTTATATGGTAAAAGCATCTTTAGATTTATTTCTTTATCAAAGGGTCCCTGTCTTAAAAAAATTACTATGTCCTGAAAGTAATATTGCCATAAGTAAATTGTCTGAATGTTTCACAAAATAACATTGATTATTGCATCATACTAAGAAATATCCAGTCACTTGAAAACCATTGATATACTTGGAAAATGTGATTGATTATGAAAATCTGCTGTAATAAAGATACTCATTGTAATAACACAAGTTCGAAGAGAATGGTTGGACTGTTATCAAGAAAATCTAAGAAGAGAGAAAGAGAAGAGAAGTCATCTGGGATGGTTAGAGTCAGGGAAGAGAGCAAGGGGGGCGAAGAAGATCATTGCTAGATTGAGATGCTTTCAAGATCCTTACATGTATATTAATTGTTCAACTCTCATCCTAAAAGTAATGAAGAAAATTAAAGGGTGTTAGAAGAGTAGCATGAACAGACCTCCATTTCTAAAGGGTGGCTCCCGTACTGGAGTACAGAATAGATTGTAGCAAGCCAGGCTTAGGGCAAGAACACCAGCTGTAGAGACCACTGCAGTGGGCCTCAAACTAGAGTGGTAGACATGAAGATGGACATGAGAAGGCATTTTGGAAACAAAACTGACAGTACCTGTTAGAGTTAGAAGTGAGTGGTGTTTGTAGGGGGTTCTGACGCCTGAGACATGATTAATGTGTCATCTAAGGGAGGGACTCCAGGCGGTGGGCAAGAACACACAATAACGGGGACCTCAGCTCTAACCAGCCAGGTGTCCCCTGCTGATCTTTGCAACTACACATGGCAACTGGCTAGACAGGTTAACGTGTGAACCGTTAGCCATTTGACTCTTCTCCATCCTCAGGGAGAAATTTTTAAGTGATGGGGATTTAAAAAATCTTTGTCTAGACTTTAAATTATGACTTATGTGCCCTCATACAGCTGTTTTTAAAATATTACATCCTTGCCCTAACCGGTTTGGCTCAGTGGA